AAAAAAAAAAAAAAAAAAAAAAAACGATATGATCAAGCTTTAGTCACATTTGGAGTAAAAGTAGGTAATGAGCATAGTTTCCTCACCCCAGTTTCAATCAGAAAATTTCTACTTCAATCTTTTTAAATGCCAGATGCAGGAACATATTTTCTTTCAGAGGATAATTCCAAATATTTAAACATTTTGAAACCCAATGATCTAGAACAGAAATCATAAATTTCTGAGTCGTGTTCCTAATGCAGCTTGTAAGTTTTTTATTTGTCTACTCCAAAACAAATTTCATTTTGTTTTGCTTTGTTTTAATTTGAATTACACCTCAATATTTAAAATTTAAGGTATCTTATGAAAATTGAACCTTTTCTGAAAAAGTTAGATGTGGAATTCTGGCAGGCCTTCCGACCAGGCAGGTAGAGCCTTTAGAGGTCCATGCCACCTACAGCTCATCCAGCTTCCCACCTACTTCATTCAGGACTCACTTGACCCCTGGAGACAGAGGGATTTACCATTGCTAGTCTAGCTTTTCTTTGAAGTCCTTCCTAATCCTCAGTAGGTTTCAACTGAAACGTAAGTCTCTAAAAACTTTGCTTTATGCGTATTTCCACCTTTATCCCCTTCATACCACTCCCATTTCAGAGCACACACACGTGCACACACACTATTCCAATAACTGCTCTTTATATTTGAAAATACCTCCTATACTATACCTCGTAGATATTTACATTTTATTGAAGAATCTTAAGCCCCTAATATCTTACTGCAAAGAAATGCATTTCTAATGGTATATTTTATCTTGCAGATTGTCAAGCAAGCCTGAGAGTAATTTGGAGGTAGAAGGATTCTGTTAGTAAAACAATTTGTTATCAGTGAATAAGACTCACTCTAGTTATCTTCATTAATGACAGCTGATTATAAGGCTGTTCACAGACACAAGAGAAACAGGAGGGTCATGAGACAATTTACCCCCCACCCCCATGACTTGTATATTTAGAAACAGAAAAATTTCAACAAGGCTCCACCAAAAACTTTCCTGGGCCTTTATAAGCATTACTCCATGGATATTTTACTTTTATATGACTCAGCTCCTATTGCTCCTACTTAGTAATTAGTCACCTTACCCTCTACTCTCTGCCATTTGTTTTAGTTTCTGCTTACTTATAAATTCTATTTACTTATCCCATCAGTTTATTCACCTTTCTTGCTGCCACAGGCCTCTTCTTGTGGCTCTTTTCAGCTTATACTCCCTCCCAAAACCAACTAATTGACTCCCTCCCCAGATTCCCTAGTTCAAATTCCTGAGCAAGAACATCTGACCCAACTAATCACCATTTTGCCTGGTTGGGCAGTTTTTCATGCCAAACCATCACATAGGACACTGGCCAGCCTAGAAATTGGTTAGGATAGGACCACCCTGGTCCAGTCCCCTGGAAGAAGGGGACTCACAACCACCCACGGAGGCTGCCGCAGCCCACTTGTGGGTAAGGCACCTCCCTTAAATGGAAGCCAATGGCATGTCAGGCACTACAATGGATCTGCCCCATAGAATCTTTAGATTTCAAGTCAAACCAAGACAGTGTCTCCACTTCTGCTGGTGGTTTCTCGCTGAAGCGTAAACCAAAGCTAGAACCATACTGCTGTAACATTCCTGTTCATGTGGGCTTTTCAACAGGCAACATCAGAGGACCTCTGTGGTTCTTTCATATTCTTTGATGACAGTTTACTCTAACTCAATAAAACAATTCCTCATAAGCATGGACTTCAGTTGTGCTTTAAGCATGTCAACCAACTCTTTTTTACACAGTATTATCTAGATTTAAATTCCAGTGAATTATACCAAGCCCAAAAGCTCTTCATCCCTCCATAACCATGGTTTCAAATATCACCTACATTCTGTATAATACGAAATCCCAGCAACATAGGTCTCACCCAAATTTCTGACCTGAATTCCATGTCTCTATCACCCATCTCTACCTAAATATCCCATAGTCATTTTCTGTTTCTTGAATGTCACTAAAATTCATCACATCCAAACTAATTTAGCTTACTATTTCCTCGATTAGATGACTTTTCCTATACAATTGCTCAAATAATAAATTTGGTTTTCACCCTTCCTCTTCCTGTTGGATACTCCTTTCCAGATACCTCTGAACTTTGCTTCTTGTGCTCCACCTCACTGCCAGAGTGAATTATTTTTAATATTTCAGAGACAATTCTGTCACCTCTAATCTTTTGCATAACACTATCTCCCAGTTCATTCCCCTCTCCACACCATCCAAACCCTAAACTCCTTTGCTCTTTGCCTACACATCTTTCCAGTCCCGGGTAGGGGAATTACCTCCAGGAATTCTGACCTGACCCACAAATTCTCCTATATCCCACATATTGAGTGCAATTATCCTTCCTCAGTATTCCCGACTAAATTCCTTATTCCTTGCTATGACATGACCCATGTCTGCCTTGCTTAAATCTATGTTCCCAGGACCCAGCATAGTAACTGACACATAGCAGTTGCCTGATAAATACTGATTAAAGGAATAAATGCCTTACTCTGCAAGATCTAGATGCATTTAACATATTTTTCTTCAAAATGTACCCAGAGAATAAGGTTGTGATTTTGATAAAATTCAAAGACAATTGGAAACAGCCAAAGATATGCATAATCCCAAACACAAAACAGAATGAATAATATAGAAACAAAAAGATGCAAAAATAAAATGAAGATGCAAGTCACACACAATCATGTAAGTCACTAATATAAACAGAATATGAATTTTGTACTTAAATGCATTTCCTAACCCATATTTCTAAGGACAGTAGCACATTGTGCCCCTGGGAATTACCAAATACCTTCTTTTTCATTGTTTTTACATTAATTCTTATTTTTGAAACTCAGATATTTGGATAACAAATAACCAAGTCTTATATGGAAAGTTACAAATTACAGTCATATGTCACAGTCTAAGCAAATGGCAGCCAAATTTCTCTATATAAATTGCCGAATTCTCTTATGATTTCACAAGATGTATTGGAAAGAAAAACAGTAAAAAGGAAATTCATTTTTTACTCGGCTAATATAGTATATGGGTAAAGGGTTCACGTTTAAACTGTTACAGATGAGTGAGTTTTTCCAGAAATGCAATTTTAACAGAGCATGATACCACTGAGATATTAAAACTAAATTTAAATTTTTTTAAATTAGGTTAACACCCTCAGAGCAAATCATGCTAGTAGCACACGTATTAAATAATGTTACTGAGCTAGCAACAAGAAAACAGATTTCAAAAGAAGACATAGGAAGAATAGAGCTGGTCAAAAGAATGTTTAGGAAAATAATTCCTTTTAATTGATGAAATCTATAAACCCATAATAAAGAAGAGATTGGGTGATCCTACAGTGTTTTTGATAATTTTGTTGCTATGGCTATTGCTGTTATTAGTGAGTCCAAAGTTAGTGCTTTCAGAATGAGACACAAAGGGATGAATCTGTGTTTTTCACGTCAGACTAATGCATTCTGTCACTGAAAATTAATGCAATATTCTAAGAAAAAATGTTTATTTTTAAAATGACAACGAATTACAGTGAATCCTCATATTTTCTCAACCCATTTGCAGAAGACCAGTCAGTGAGGCGCTGACGGGGACTACCTCAAAGAGAAGATGTATGCAGCCTAAATCTACAGCCTGAGGCTTCTCTGAAGGACAAGTGGGTAAGCACAACAGTTTTGCCTTTGGCCAATTAAAGGCTAAGTATTTGTAGGTAAGTGAGGTTTAAGACTTTCTCTCACCCAACTCCCTGTACCGCCCCATCTTCCTCAGTCAGTTATGTAGCCCCTGGCCCTGAGACAACATGAGTCTCCAAACACTCTATTTCTTACTCTCTTTCTCTATCAATAAATCCCCCAGTACCTCCTACTTAAACACTCCACATATTCTGGTCATCCAAGGATGTAAGTTTTGTCATTTGCATATTGTTTTGCCCTGATCTGAGGTCCAAAAAAAAAGTATATTTTTCCACTGCCTGAAGTAGAAATTCTAAATGTTCCCAGAATAAGAATAAACATGTTCTGGCAAGGCCATTTGGGGATTATTAGTTGGCATCTCTGGGCTGTATTCAGAAATAAGTGAGCATCCATTCGTAGCAATCCTTATAACATTATCTCTGTTTGCATTGTTATTATGCTTATAACTGCTTTCGGAATCCATGCCAGACCTTTTTTTTTTAAAGGTCTAGGATGCCTTTTACACTTTTTTTTTTTTACTTAAATCAAGGAAAGCAAAATTCCAAAAGTAACATATTTCCATAGACTGTAGAAGGACATGAAGAAATTCAAGTATAAGTCCTTGTGAAATATGTTTGTGATCAGTGGAATTAGGCCCCTTCCTGTGTCCCAGTGACTGTCAAAACAGATGTGTGATATCTGAGTCTGTCAGGTGCCTCTTAAAAGCCTTCCATGGCTGGCTTGTCCTTGCTCATTTTAGAGTCATTTAAAAAATACTTTGAGAGCTAGCAATGAGAATTACAAATCATTTTTCAAAGGAATGTACAGCTCTGCAAATTACAATGAGTTTACAGGTGCAGTCTTACTCTGTGTAACCTAGAGATGAAAGAGTTATCAAGGACATTGATGCTCACTGCCACACTGATGAAATCCTCATGAATTCAAAAATCGTGGCAATAATTGCTTTTATGGAAATAGATCTATGAGGTTGTCAAGCAGATGGCATCTGATTTCCTCCTAAATGAGGAGGACTTGTAGAAAAGTATAAGAATTCCAACAGCAGGAAGAGCAGAAAATAGTGGTAACAATCCTCAGTCCCTTAATGGCTTGCTGGAACTTAGAGGGATGAGATATGGCAGTTACTACTGTCACTTTCTTCTATACTGGCTCACTGGACATGCACAGCCACTTAAAGAATAGCATTCTTTTTACTGAGTTAAAGTTGAGTAACCTTAAATACTAAAAGATTGAGTGACTTATTCAAGATCATTATGCACGTAAATGTTAATAGGACAAGATTCTTACTTGAAAAGGCACTAGAAAGAAGAAGCATTTGTTCCTGATGCTACACAAACACACACTCTTCTAAAATCAACACATTGTCAGGATACAAAGCACAATTAGCAACCCATTCTCTTTATTTCATATACTTCGACCAGTGTGCTGTGCCATTGTTCCTGCTACTGGTTAAGGCTTTCTTGAAAATCCATGTGAAGCTGCTCTTCTCTTTAGAAGACTTCTGGTTACCTGGAGCACACCGTGATGGTGGACACTGGACTGCGTGTGGTTCTCAGTCACTTTGCACATCCCTTCCTTCACCTCTCCTTTCTCCTTGCACCCCGCTGTCCATAACTCTTCTGCCCCATGCTCACTCAGCTCAGCAGCATTAATGGAAATCCAGGAACCCAGTGCCCTGGTCTAATAAATTTCATATTGTCACACTGCCCTGTTTACTACAAAACAACATAACTACTCCTCCCTGACTATAAGTGGTTCTCAGGTCAATAACTCAGGTCTTGATCCCGCACCTTCTTTTTTTTCAGCTTTAATTGAGTTTATTGGTACATTTTAGGGATACAGTACAGTTACATTCATTGTTGGGATCTTGTACCTCTACATGACAAGTCTTGATTCTCATTTTTTCCCCTTACCTCTGCCCTCCCTTCACCCCCTCCTCCCCTCCCCATCTACAAACACTTTATTTTCATCTTTTCATTCTCTCACATTTTTTTCTTTTCCCTTTTTGTTCTTCCCCTACGTATCACACCTTCCCTACACCTTTAGCTCCTTTCCTCCCATTTCTAAATGTCAGTAATCTTATTAGAATCTTATGCATTGTTGCAGAATATTCACACCAGGGAAACTATTTGGTATTTACACATGTGGGACTTATTTATTTCACTTAGGAGTATATCTTCAATATGTATCCATTTTCCTATGAATGAATCTATTCTCTCGCTCGGTATGGCGGAGTAATATTCCATTTTATACACATACCATAACTTCTTTATCCAGTTTCCAACGGATGGGCAAATAGGCTATTTCCAAGATTTAGCTATTACAAACTGTGCCGCTATAAACATGGGTGCACATACTTCTCTGTGATATGATTCTTTTAGTTCTCTTGGAAAGATACCCAACAGAGGGATGGCTGGGTCAAATGGAACCTCCAGTCCAAGCTCTTTGAGGTATCTCCATATTGATTTCCATAGTGGTTGCACTAGTCTGCACTCCCACCAACAATGGAGGAGGGTTCCTTTCTCCCCACAACCCCGCCAACATTTGTTATTGTGTGATTTCTTGATAGCAGCCATTCTTTGTGGGGTGAGGTGGAATCTCAGTGTTGTTTTCATCTGCATCTCTCGAATGACCAGTGATGTGGAACATTTTTTCATATATTTTCTTGCTGCTTTCACTTCTTTGTATGAGAAATGTCTGTTCATTTCGGATGCCCATTTTTGAATCGGGTCTTTATATTTGGGGGGACTGATTGTTTTGAGTTCTTTATATATCCTTGATAATAGTCCTTTGTCTGAGGAACAGCTGGTAAAAATTTTTTCCCACATTGTAGATTGTCTCTTAGTTCTGCTGATGGTTTCTTTTGAAGTACAGAAGCTTTTTAGTAAGATGAGATCCCAGTTGTTGATTCTATCTGCTAGTTCCCGTGCTACTGAGGATTTGTTCATAAAGTCTTTTCCTATACCAATGTCTTCCAGAGTTCTGCCTAACTTACCTTCCAGCAAGTTTAATGTTTCTGTTTTAATATTTAGATCTTTAATCCATTTGGATTTTAATTTAGTGCATGGTGAAAGATAAGGGTCTAATTTTCATCTGTGGCAGGTTGACATCCAGTTTTTCCAACACCATTTATTAAAGAGGCATACTTCGTGCTGTCTACAAAATAACTCGCCTTGGCAATGTTCCAAAATTTAAGATTAATTATGACAAACCAGTGTCTTCTTCCTTAAATGATTGCCCTATTTCAACTGCATACTGTGGTCAGGGCCACCATTGCCCATCAAGACACCCAACAATATGACTGTAGAGCCTTCCCTGGTCCCTCTTTCCTCACCTGCCTCCAAGGCCCAATACAAGCTCTGACAACCATTCCTTCCCAATTTGGAGTGCATGTGTTCACATTTTCTCCTCTTTGCTGCCACTGCCAAACCAAACCCACCAGCATTAAATACACTGGGCTGGGGATTTAGCTCCGTGCCACCATACCTGACTTGCAAGCCCAAGGTCCTAATAATACTAATAATAATTAGTAGTAGTATTATTATAATAGAAGCATATAATTGAACATCTCTATTTCCAGAGTCTCCTGGCTCCATCTACCCATCACACAAAACAACTGCTATCCCCTCATATGCAAAATATTCAGTGAGATCTAAGGTCTTTCACCATCTGATCCCCAAACTACTTTCCAGGCTTACTTCTTGCCACACAGTCTCATGTGTTCTTCCTTTTTTTTCCTTCTTTTTTTTTTTCTTTTCACATTCATTAACTTGACATTCTCTTTAGGGCCTCTGAGTATTGTGCTAGAGTGCTCTATAACTGTCTTAGCTCTCATACTGAAACTCAATATCCAGCCCTCACAATTTAAAAGAGGAAAGGTTTATTTAGGTTCAAGTTTCAGTCCATAGTTGGCTAGCTCCAAGGCAGGAAGGCATGGCAGAACTGCATAGCAGAGGACAGTTGAAGATATGTGCTCACGGGCCTGGTGGCGAAAATGGAGTGGAGCAAGGAGTAGGGAAGAGATAGACCCTTTCTGGACACTCTGCCAGGGACACATCTCTTTCACCCAGATCCCGTCTCCTAACAGCAGTCAGCTAGAAAATCATCAGTGGACTAATCCACTACCATCCCATGATCCAGTCACCTTCCAAAAGCCCTACCTATGAGCACATGAGGCTTTGGGTTGGGACGTCTAGACACATAGCATTAAAATACCCCACACTGACCGACACTTACTCAGCATCTTCCAACTTTAAGATTCCCTTCTTGCACCTTGCACTTGTCTTTCATTACCCCTACCATGGTCTGAAGTATGTGTTCAGTGTCATTCAGTATCTGAATGAAGAAAGAGCACTTGCAAAAAGGTCAGGGATGAAAAAATGGTGACTGATTTGAGGCAGTGGAAGGCACTCAGTATAATTTAGGTAGAGAAAGTGAAAGATAGCATCGCACTAGATGGGATTAAGAGGTAAGTGAGCCCACAGAGTGGAGCAACCTTGCAAGCCATGTGAGTAGTTTGGATATTAATCCACTCACAATGGCCAGACATTGAAAAGGTGTTAACAGAGGAGTAGCTTAATTGGTAAAAGGTGAAAAATTAATTGGAAAAGACCAACAGGATTAAAAAAGACAATTTGGGAGAGTCTTACATACAGGTAGTTTGAAATTATGGCTGTGAGGGTTAAGGTAGATAGTTAACAGAAATATTTCTGCCGTGAAATTGATAGGCCTTACCTACATACTAATTGCAAGTAGGCTTACAGAAGCAGGAGTATTAAGGATCAGTCATAAATGTCTTCTTTAAGCTTATGGCTGGAGAGTGATCCCCTTTATCTGAGAGGGACAGACTGGAAAAGAATCAAAAAAGAGTATGCTGAACGTTTTTGTGTTAAACAGGTTGGGGTTTTGAGCTTTTCAGAAAAGTTAAATCAATGGGCAATTAGATATACTGGGTTGTATATGTAACTTTG